GGGACTGCCACACACAATGATGGCTTTTTTTTTAAAGCACAAGTTGTCACCACAGAGCCACGAAAGATGACAACAGCCGATGTTTAGGCTTAGTTTGTGTTTAACACATATTTCTGTAAACACGATTTTGGACAGCGAGCATACTAACCTTTTTTCCTGGGTTTGGTCGTGGAATCATCCGCATAAAGCACATTGATATTTTTAGCACGGCTGCACCGATACCCGCAATTTTTGCACTAAGTACAAGTACTTATATTTGAGTACTTGGCCAACTTGATCATGCCATTACATCTTTCAGATGTTTTATCCTAATAAATTATTGTTTATGAACACAAAACAGCAACTTTTTCAGTTAAATACTTTTTGGAATAACAACCTGTCATTTACTGACATTTGAATATCCAGCTGCAAGTCTTGACACGTCACTTCAATGTCGCCGGTTACACAAGGTACTGTAATGCAGTTACGTGGTGTCTGAGTCTGACCACTAGGGGCGCTATTTAAGAGAGGTCCACAGATAAGAACCTCAGAAGAGTGTCAGTGCTTCTTTCTAGTGTCATTTATACTTTGGCAGAATATGCTTTGTTGCATTCTCACCGTTACACAAAATCCAGCAGCCGTGTTCACTTTGATGTTTTTTTTAATTTGTTTTTTTTTTCTCTTTGTCCATGAAACATCAATGGACAACACACAAAGAACAGATGACAAAAGGTCCATCTCCTTAAAAGTTGACACAAAAGTATGACGGGACAGTTTGCCACTTGGCGGCGATAAGTCGAACACAGCAAAGTAAAAGCCACAGTTTATTAGCAAGGTGCCGGATCCTCCTCAACATTGTTGTCTGCGTAAACATCAGCCCACAAGAAGAACGGGACAAAAACGAGTACGTAAAGCAAGGGACAAAGTTTACTTTTCTACAAAAATAGATATTCTCTTCTCTCAAGTTTTTTTGTTGTTGTAACTTTTAAACGTTCTTGATAGTTTACTGTCTGCACCAAACAAATTGTGATTGTGTCACAAGTTCAGCTTTTTTTTTCCTGATGACATTTTTGAACATACAATTGCCAAGCAAAACATATTTTGAGGAGGTTAACGTCCTTAACTGTAACCGCCGTTTTTTCTATACGGTTTGGATGTCCCATTAGTCTGCTGAGGAGCTGGTTGTTGTTACTATACACATTTGGGGCTACTGGATTCTGCTGGTTGTTGTTTTTAGAAAGGCTGCAATGCATAAAATTCTCCTCCTTGATAATTGTGTCAAAACACCAGAAAACATGGCCTGGAATTATTTTGGTCTGAAAGACTCCTCTCCCTCTTCCAATGCTGGAAATACTCAGGGAACAGATCTGCTGATATATTTATTTATAAATATATACACATATACATATTAACAAAATATAGCTTTTACGTTATGAAGCGTCTGTGAAAGTTACCATTTTATATCATGTTTGATTTCTTATAGGGGGCGATCTTACACAACATCCACATTTTATGGCTTAAAAGACCTGCATTTGTCACCCATCACAGTCTTGAATGAGTACTTTTTTTTTAAACATTTTAAATTTTTTCGGCGAAACTCGCAGCTAAGGATTCTGACTAAGAAGCTGCAATACTCCTCGAAAAAGTTTTTTTTCCGTCCAACATACAAATTATCCTGATTTTGTACGCATATATTTTATATATAAATAATGTACTGTAAACTGAGCTCACACTGGCAGTCAATACTCTCACCTGGATAATTCATATCACTAATACAGGCCACATTGCTTTCAGGGAAACGCCAATAAGTCATGAATAGTTATTGCTCCTTTTGTTCCCTCTTCCTCCCTCTTTTTGGCAATAGCAAGCACAGAGACTGTGCCACATAAACCCTGTGAGAAAGTGCCGTCTCTGTCAAGATGGGAGAAAAAAATAAAAGGAAAAAGAAGTTGTGGTGTTGCAGTGCGGATTTCCGTCCACTAGAGGGGGCAAGAAGCTCATCCCTCGTTTTTACACGCTCATCGCCTTGGGACGAATTCAGGGGCTTGCCTTTGAAAGACCCTCAGATTTTTCACCCCTGCCGAAGGCCTTCCGTGAAAGTGGACCTCAATCAGACGATAATTACACACGCGTGTCCGGAACGTCCTTTGAGATAAACAAAGACTCACATTTAACCTAACACGGCCATTACGTCATCGGAGTCTTGGTCAAATAGTAGCAGAGTTGTCAGAGTGCCACTAGAATCACGAAAGAGTGTTCACGGCTCTTTTTGTCAGGACTATTTGGGCCATACTGAAAAGAAAAGTACAACATAAAGTAATGAGAACAGAGTCATATGATTTCTGGCCCTGGGATCGACTCCGGCTCAACCAGCAACCCTAAAAACAACAAGCGGAATTGAAATTAAATGGACAATAGTTTTGATGTTTGAACCTGAGAATAATGTCGTTTTAGTCAAAGAATAACATTGTGTGAAAAAAAATCACGATGTTATGACAATTTGACAAAGAAAAAAAAAACTAATTGTGAGAAATTCCAAATGTGCAGCAAAATCATAAGGTTAGGAGACAGATCACTTATGAAGTGTTTGTTAAAAAAGATGAGGTCCCCCTCCCCCCCCCAACAACCTCAACATGTTAATTCCATCCTGTGTAATAGCTTTGTTAAAAATATTTAAATTCTGGTAATCTGGGAATATGACTTATTCTCTATAATTGCAACCGTACTGTTGTACGATAAGGATTTTTTTTCATATTATTATATTTCTTCATTTTTTTTGTGTGGCTCTACTGATCCTTATTAAACATTCTGATTAGACTTTACACAGATCGGCGTCAATTATTTGTGAATTCTGGGCTGGTCTCAATTCCCCGTGAATAGCGGGGGATCAACCATACGGAAATAAACAACTTATTTAAATATATACATTGGTCCATATTCTGACCAGATCAGTGATCAGTTTTTTGTTTTTTTTTACTTGACGATCGGTGATTCGCTCCAAAATCCTGATTGTGTAAAGCCTAATTCTGATCAAGTAGACCAAATTCAGTTCGAAGTTCACTAAACTGCAGATCAGAAGGTCAGCTAAAGTCTTCAACATCCTCTTTGAATAAAAGAAGTAAAATGGTCTGAATAGTAATAATAAATTGGATTTCAACTGACGGGTGGTAGAGCCCAGATTCTTTGTTCGGCCTCCTTAGTATGAATAAAAACACAGTGCTCAGGTCCTGACTGCTTCAAAGTGCTGATGAAAGAAATAACATGCAGATCAAAAGAAAATTGATGAAATTCTTTTTTTTTAGTGTTCTTTTTTCCCTCTCATATCGTTATTCATGTCCCCTTGACTCCGTTGTTCCGTAATCTATATATACTGTATATACATAATTGAAGACAAAAAAAAAGCCATTTGCTTCTTATGTAAAGCCAATAATGAGTGAGTGGGGATGTGAGGAGAGCAACGTGTCGACTATCCGCATGAAGTGAGAATGAGCAACTTTGTTTTTGTGTCAACCCCAACGGAGGGCAAGAGAATGCCACGGAACAGCAGAATATGAGTGTATATGTCGAAAACGTTTCATATTTCATCATCAACAAATGCTTCCGAGAGAGCGCATGTTTTTGTCCCGCTGAGGAGGGAAAAGAACCGGGGGGGCCATCCTAATTGGGACGGGGGCCAAATCCCCACCTCACAGGTCAATCAGCTCTGTCATGAGGTTAAGTGCAACGTAACAAATAAACAAACAACCGCTCTGCTGCAATGACAAGCGCTTCTCTTTCTATGGACGTATACTGTCAAAATGAGGCGAGCCAAGATGAGGAGGGTGAACAAATTGAGGTAATAGTGCAGTGCTGCTCTGAAATGGAACAAAAAAACAAAAACCCAAAACACAACACGAAAATACTGTTTCTGGTTGCAACTTCCTGCGCAGAAAGAGATGAGGTGATCTTGAGACGCTAACACCTGCAGTGTTGAGCGGTTGAGAGGTGGAGGTCGGAATTCACATCAATGAGAGGGGCGGTTGGGGTGGAGCGGGCGACAGCTGAAATGATCCAAGGTTGACACTGCTACCTTTAACGCTGCATTCCAAATTCACACGCCATACCTTTTCTGTTGCAAAGATTAAAAAAAAAAAAAAAAAAAGGAACAGAAAGTTCGAATGCCAGTTGCCGGTGTCAACTGACAACTGCCTGGCTTCTTCCTGTGTGCACAAAGAACTGTGCAGATTGTACATACATGACATGCCCCCCTCCCCCAACGCCGCTTCAGCATCTCGAGGTGGATCACAACATTTTCCTGATTTGGCTGATTCGGAAACTCGCCTTCACCAATGTTGTAGCACAGTGTTGATACAATAAGACATGGTTGGATTTGTTTGGAACTGGGCCAGACACCTGAGGTTCTTGAACACTTGAACACAAATGCAGTCTTTGTAGCACACCTGTCAAGTAAGTTCGACATCCCAGAAAGCTGACACCCTTTTTCCTTTCTTTGTTTTTGAAACAACTAGTGCAAGACGTGTTGAGTCCAGTCAGGGAAGGACCTCCAGTTTGTTTTGAATCCGTCTCGACGAAAAAGCAAGAGGCCCAGATGGTCCGTGTACCTGTGCGATTGTCCTGCTTACAGGACAATCGCACTGAGATTCAATCAGGCTGAGAGTCTCAACATGACGTCCACACCATGTTTGCATACACCCACCCGGCAAGTGTTGCGTGTGAGGGTGCTGAATCATCTTGTCAAGATGCTGGGAAAATGCTAATAATGGCTCAGTACATTGCTTATGTCTTCTCTCCACCGCATGTTTTTGTGACACACACACACACACACACACACACACACACACGGATATGTGTGTGTGTGTGTATGTGTGTATGTATATACATACACATATATATATATATACATACACACACACGCACATACATATACATACATACATACATACATACGTACATACATACATACATACATACATATATACATTATATATATAGTACTATACAAGGTATAAAAACACACCCATAATGAGTTTGTTGTTTCTGGGGGGATTTTACAGTGAAAAGGGAAAATGTTCACCATGACATAATTTGTCTCTCAGTGGAGGTGGGACATCTTAAAAAAAAAAGACCCTGCTGGGAAATGACGAGGAGGCAGATGACGGGCTCCATCCTCTCCGTTATTATGTCATTTGATGCGGAGCTTCTAGCATTTCCATGAGGAAAGTGTCGATGGGCGTGTCGCCTATGAGTTTGAAGAAGAACAAGTGTTCCAGACACTTGAGGCCGATGGAGCGCAGCGCCGGTAACCTCAGCAGCAGCTTGGCGAATCTGTCACACAGCCAGGTGATGAAGTTAGTGAGGGGGCGGATGGAGGGAATGTTCAGATCAGGTTCCACCGAGCAGTATGGTTCACTTTGGCTCAGTATGCATTTATCAGAGTCAGAGGTCATTTGCTCTGTTAAGAGGTTCTGGACTGTATTTCATTCTTTTTCTTCTCAAAATACAGTTTGTAGAAAAGTAGAAAAAAGGTTGAGAGGAACGATTTCTGCTATAACAGAGATCAGACATGGGCTACCGGTGACCCGCAACCATGTATTAATCCTTTCATGCACAAATAACGACAACCTGGAACCTGATAACACGATAGGCTGTCCACTGTAGTAACCGCTGTCCCTGAGAAGGTTAAAAAAATGCTTTGTCTTGATTCTTGTTTTTTTTGTTAGCGGGGGGAATAATGTTTTTCCCTGACTAGCTCTGGCACACACAATGTGTTCTGGCAAAATAAAGAAATGGGGGGTATAATTTCCTTTCAAGGATGTTCCATAGGTTCTCAATAGGCTTGAGGTCAGGGGATGGTCGTGGCCACACGGTGAAGTTTTTTTCTCCTTTTTAAACCCAGAGCAGCAAAAATTTCAATGGTATTATTTGTAGCATGGAATGGTACATTGTCATGCATTCGATTGATTTTATTGCAGAAGGCACTGTTCCTTTTCTTAGCACGGAAGGAAATGACCGGTGGGAAACTCCGGCAAGTCTTTTTGACTTTTAAATTGTAAGCGTGTGTTATACCTGCCAGGTTGCTCGGGATACTTGTGTTTGCAGTAGGCCTCTAAAGACGCGTAGACTTTCTCTCTGAGAGCTTCTACCTCACTTGGGTTTGACAGACCTTTGGAGTCTGGGAAGAGACACACACACAAATGACAACTCAGAGACAACACGAAAATAAACTTATTTATACTTGAGGGGTTACCATTTATGATTTCAGATTGAAGGCAGACCACTGTTATGAAAGTTCAATTTCTAACCTCTATGGAATGGGATTGTGAAACACAGATGAAGGGCAGGAATTTGCGATCAACAAGTTGAGCTTTAACCTCCCGGCCCTTTGAGGACCTTTTGTACCTCGTATTCTGTGCAATTAGCACTCCCCTTTCATGACATTGTTGACTAAATGTGGGGATGAAAAACAAAAAAACAAAAACATTTATCACTAATGGCTGAACTCAAGATGACACACAGTGAGAATGAAACGCTCAATTTTTTTTTTCTTTTTTTTTTCTGTCAGAACAATCTGGCGAACTCTAATTAACAATAACTGAGGCAAAGGAGTGAAGTGGGGCCACCAGGCCCGGCGGAGTCTCCCAACAAAAGTGGAACACAGAGGATCAGTGTGTCTGGTGTGGTCTAATCCACATTGGCCTCAGAGGGAGGGCGAATCCCACACTGGGTCCTGTTGATGGTTTGGTTTAATGGGTTACATTGACAAGACAGCATGTTGGTTTGTAACATAGTGCAAAACATGGAGCTCAGGTCAGAGAAGTTGTTGTGGCAGGCTCTGTTTCACAAGGAAATCAGGCTATCTGAAAGATGTCCCCTTTGTTCAAAACAGGAATTCAAGAACTGAATTGCAGTGGGTCCACTTTTCTTTCAGCCAGCCACTGACAACTCAACATCGGCCAAAATTGTTATTTTAGGACACATTTTCTCAAAGGGTTGGGACGTGGGCGTGTAGAAATTGAAAAAACTTTGAAAAAACTAAAACAAATACAGTGGTACCTCTACTTACGATTGTCTCTTCATACGAAATGTTCAAGTTATGAAATGCCTCAACAGGAAAATATTGTCTCTTGTTACGAAAGAAATTTCAAGATACGAAAGGTAAAAATACAGTATGGGCTGCTACTCGCAGCTCCGAGTTCCCTGAATAACACCGTACTTAGAGCTGCTCTGCTATTACTGAGCATCATCCTGGCATCCCATTGGCTAAGAGGGGCATCTACCATACGTGTCTATGTGTGTAGATAGATAGATATGTGTCAATGCAGCGTCCTCGTCATTCGCCCCTCGGGCCATGAAGCGTTACGATAGTTTTATGTAAATGTGAATCACCCAAAAAATGTGTTCAATATGCTGATGTTTGCCTTGGACATTTTCGAATGATTGTTAAAAGCTGACAAAAGCAAACGTCATTGGATCAGGCAAAAACCACTTCTGAGAGAGAACACGAACTAAAGAGGGCAAAAAACAATGAAGACACAGTTAAAAGTTCAATGACCATCATTTTTATTCTTTATTCTTTTTTTCATTATGCACAACTCTCATTTATTGTGCAATAATCTAATTGTAACATGTATTTGTTACATATTTTGATGCATTTTAATGCTTTAAAAAACATTTATGTCTGCATTTTGGGGGACTTGGAACGGATTAGCGCATTTACATGGAAAACATGTCTCTACTTACAAATTTTCTCGTTCAGAAATTTCATCCAGAACCTATTAATTTTATAAGTAGAGGTACCACTGTGAAAAAAAAAAAAAAGACTTAAAATCACATAAAAAAAAAAAAAAAAACGATTGAAAAATCCAAAACGATGATAACTATGTTAATACACAGCATCATTTTTAACAAACGGGACATTTCTGAATGTAACATTTTTGGAAGCACTTGAATGTGAAAATGAAGAGTAATTCAACCTAGGCATGTGCAAGAACGTTCCAAACCAAAACAATCATGTTTGAACACGGAGGCCCTTGTGGTGTTTGTGCTTAAAATGCTTCTCCACCAAAGTGCACTGCGTGAAGCACACACACACCGACACATCAGTCCCTGAAAGTTTCAGAAGCAAACGCTGGAGAAGTATTTTTGTGAAGGCTACGTAGAATCGCTTTTGGTTGAATCTTTCTCCTCATCTACCTGTTGCAAATTAGTACATAGCCGAAACCTCTTCATTCACTTCAGTTCATTCTTTCCCAAGTTAAGTGTGCATTTGCCCATCAAAAATGCCTCACATAAAAAATCCGTCAACACTCTTACCAGAGCTGAGCCGGTTACAATTTTTTTCACCCGTTTTTCGTCATCTCAGATAAGTAAATACTTGGTCTGCAACATTTCACCCATTTTCCGGCAGCGTCTCAAGACTGCAAAACCCCAAAAGTTTGTTCATTCCAGGTCCACAACAGGTTTCAGACATGTCTCTGCTGTTTTTAACAGGTTTTAATTTCTCCGTCGGATCCTTGGTGTTTGCGTATAGCTTCCTGAAAAGAAAAAAAAAAAAAAGCACTGAAAAGCTCACTCCTAGATTACCTGGGTTGAAAAGGACTATAGCTCGAAGGCACCCCAGTTCTGTCTTATCCATCTGCATATCCCGCATCTTGGACACCAGCTCTGTGAGCACTCTGCACCGAAGACACAAAAAAGGTGGAGATGAAAAGACATAACGTGTTATAGGTGAAAATGAGTTCACGTAAAAGGGGTCTCATTTCCGATCAAACCGATTGTGAAAGGATAAACGCATGCCAATAAATTGTCACAGCTCTCTTCCAAAAAGTCATTTGATTTAGCGCAGCTGTGTCATGGTAGCAAAGTCACAGAGCAAAACTGTGTGTAATGTGTGACATCACTGGGAGGGAGCGTCGGCACGTTCCTTCGCCCTTCACCGCCAAAGTCACACCCCTCTTCATTCGGGTTGCCCCACCGCCCTCACGTTCTTTTTGAGTGGAGTCAATTGTGACTCATAAGCTCATTGTGATTCAATTCGCCACGAGGAACAACGCAGAAAAAAAAAGAACAGACTGAGGTGTTTATGATCATCTGTTTCGTTTAAATGAGGGAGACAGCGAGAGGGAGAGGTTTCGATAAATAAACATTATCAGCTCTGTGTATCTTAAAGCGCGCCACACTTATTACAGAGCTGTCATTTTTCCCGAGGCCGTGACTGGCGAAGATATTGACAGATGACGCCAACGCTGCTATTAATCCTACTGCCAGTTTTTTTTTTTAATCTCCCGCTCAAGGATGATCCAAGCGGCAAAACAACAGACACTCATGAGCCACTTCATTAGACACGCTCACAGAATCAAATTCCAGGACAAGAGGCGCAACAAATTCCGTTTACAAATGACATGGTATTTGATTCCTCTTCAAATAAGATGTTAGAAGAAGTGTGCGGGGTGACATTGCTAACTACAACTACAACTTCTCCGAGTGTGAATCGAAAACGGAGCGTTTTTGTCTTTGTAAAGGCAAGATTTTGAACGCGGCTTTTGTAGTGGATCTCATTCGATTGCGCGGCGGTCCGTAACGTTGTGAAAGAGATCAAAGCAGCATGTTTCCATCTTACAGAAAACCGCAAGATGCAAATGCTTTGCAGCATAAATCATCGAAAAATGCTCAACAGATGCTGCAGCCGCCTGTGAGATATTAGCCTGTGACAGTTTGTTGACCTGAAACATCAACAGCAGTCACCGGGGGTCCTTCACCGGAATGGCTTTTTATTACCCCCGCCCCCTCCCGTGCCCTTTAGCGTTGGGCATAATTAATTATTCTAACACACTGTCAACGAGGAAATGTTTTGATTGTTTAGTGCTGAAGAGGAATTTGCTGTGAGAGAAGATACACGAATAAAGTCATTCAAACAGCACAAATAATTAAAAACACGCGTGCCAATAAAAAAAAAAGGACAGTGGAGCCTCTAAAGTAAAACATGAAAACAAAACACTAACTTAACTTTATAGATGATTGGCAAGGTAATAAAATGCAGTGGAGTGGCTTTGCATATCCCCCTCAAGTATTTCCATATTAATTTAATGATCACAATTAGAGCTGGGTGATCTCGTATATTTTCCGCAAAATATTGATTCATTTCATGAATCTGTTCTACCTCGCTACCAGAAAAAGCAAATGACAATCACATTATTCAAAAATAAATGAAGCATCTCCCCCTACTGGTTGAAATATTTTTCTCAGCATTAACTGGGATCAACAAAAAGATATATTTAGCAATAAATCCGATTTTCTTGACATATACAGGCATGCCAAACGCAATAATAGAATATTTCTGAATTTATATCGTTACGCCACTCGGCCCCCCATCAAAAATTTTTGTTGATGCCGTGTCACAGTTTTTTTTAAATTTTTTTCAATGTATGCCTTTTGCAACGTTGTGGGGCAGTGCCCCAGTGTCAGTCTTTTTCTACTTTACAGGTTCCACAGTTTTTTTTTGTGATGTAGTAACGCTTAAAAACATTGATGGACATCCTAAATAGGCAGGTGAAATCTGCTTCAATTCAGATGAGACAACCCCCCCCCCCCCACCTCCCCACAGACCTGTCAAAGATGGCTCCCACTCCAGCACTATGGGCGCTGTTGCGGTGTACGTGCAGCCCGGTCGCCAACAGGATCCCGTCTTTAACGGCGATCGAACGGTGCGAAAATGACGCTATGAGGAGTTCATTCCAACCTGCGGCAAAAGATGGTGAGAGGGATTGAGGAAAAGTGTGAAGTAATGGGAGAAAACAAGCAAATCCTGGTACAAAAGTTCACGCTGCTTTCAGGCTAAATGAAACTGACAACAAAAGGGTGGGTGGAGAGGGAGGTGGGGGTTGGGGGTTGGGGGGGCTGCAATGATTCAATTAAGCTGCGTGGTGAAAGCGCTCAGGGTTCTCAAGCGCCGGCATCGGGTTATTACTAAGACATTGGATTCATACTTTCTGAAGAGACAGGCGTGTAAAAGGGATGAACCGTGGCTGCCAAGGCGATAAAGACAACAGGCTTGATGTGCCAAAGCAGGGGCTTGACACCGAGAGCACCGAAGACACAAGACGCTGATCTTTGAGTGACAGGGCTCCTTTAACAGTTCTGCCTGGCAACACTCGCCTCTTCTCCCCAGAGTTGAGTTCGATACGAGAGGAGCCGGGTTTTCTTTTTATCTGTGATGCAGCAGAACTAAAGGGGTTATTTATAGAAAACCTGAGAGCTGAGAGGAGACGAGCTCTCTGGAATAACGTCTCGCTCGCGCTCGCTCTCTCTGCTTAGCTGAAGTCTCTCCATCACTTGTGTGTGCACAGCATAAAGACTGATGGGAGGATGCTTTTTTTTCCAGGGGTGTGTAATAGCATTTCTTTTCCTCAAGGTGGATTAGGAATATGATGGTGTAATTTGGAGCGACAGGCCGCCGATGGGGGCAATGTGCTGGGAGACCCCGATAGACTCTCCTGCAATGTGATGTTGGTGAATGGAGAAGTGACAGACAAGTGGCACTGTTTGAAATCCCTACTTGTATGATCATGAGCATCGCCACAAATATCAGAAGACAAAGTTCTAGTTTGCCTCTTGGTTGACTCACAGGAAATTGAGAGCAACACGTGGCTGTGATGAGTGTGGGAACTAAGAGTAAACTATTCCACTGTTTGGTATTGAAAACACTACATTATGTTGCAGCAATTAATGAAGTGGGATTCAAGCGGCAATAATAGAGTCAACTAACTTGGGGAAAATACATGCTTTGACAAAAGTATTGGGACACCTTAGATCGCCGTTGATGTGACATGCCATCATTGCGAATCCTAATTACGAGCACCGCTGATGTCAATCGCCATCATTTGCAATTTTTTTTTTTTTTTTTTTTTTTAAATGGGAATGGAAGGAGAAAGGTCTTGGTCAACTCTGGTTTGATCATTTAGCCGTGACAGTCCATTCATCGATCCATTTCCAACACCGCTTTTCCTGAACATTGTCCCGGGGAGTTGCTGGAGCTTATTCCAGCAGACTTCGGGCAGAAAACATGCATCGTCAATCAACCTACTGTCAACAGTTGTTGGATGAGAGCTAAAGTTGAAATCGCTTCATTCCAGATTCTATGAAAGCAAAAGTGACTCAATTTGGCAAATCAGAGACAAATGAAGAATAAATAGTTACATACTAAGGAAGATAAAAAGAAAATAAGTACGCTTGCAGATAATACAGTAAAAGCGACAGTTTAGAGTAAATATTTTCGGGGTTTGGGGGGTTTACTATGTAGTGGAATGGCTGGATTGAATGTCTTTCAAAACGCCAAAATGAACCCATAATTGTGAAGGATCCAAACAGAACAAGCCCAAGCTGCGGACCCAAACATCCATCCATTTTCAACACCGCTTATCCTGAACATTGTCGCGGAGCCTATTCCAGCAGACTTCGAGCAGAAGGCAGACTACACCCTAAACTGGTCGACAGTCAGTCACAGGGCACATATAGAGACAAACGACCATTCAGACCCACAAGCACACTGTCACCGAGTGGGAAACGATCCCACGCCGCCCGCACACTAGTCCGGCGAGTGTACCACTACACCATCAGCGACTAGCTGTAAAAGTCAAAAACAAAATAATAATAATAACCATGGACTGCATATGGTAGCACTCTTTTGGATGAGATCATTGTGTGTCATAACAATGAGTAGGTTTCTAAAACATGGCGGACACTTGGAAATGCTACAAGCAAGTTGTGATTGATCGGTCAACGTGTTTGTCAGGTTAAAGCTACTATAAAGAGTATCACAAAGGAGAGAAAAAATGACTGATGAGATTAAGAAGCGAGAAGCTAAGAAGTAGAAGCGATGACATAGTGTACGACCATACGACCATAGACACACACACACACACACACACACACACACGCATGGCAAGCATGCAAGCACACACACTACTAAATACTACTACTACTACTACTACTACTACTACCACTATCAGATAGAGGGCAAATAGTAAAGGCTGTCAAATGTAAAATTGTTACATATGTAATGCATTGTAAATACATTATCTTGACATCATAAGCAAGTTTTAGTGGTTGCTGGAATTTTTTTTTTTTAAATAGTTCATTGGAGAGAAAATTATTAGCAACAAAGTCATTGCTGTGCATGAAATACATCTCGCAAAAATCTTGTTTTCTGTGTTTGGGTGAAACCAATCCATGTTTTACTGCCGATTACTTAAAAAAAAAAAATGGAATAAGCTGGAAACAAACTTTTTGTGGTGATGAAAGAGAGTCGAATCCTTCATGGGGTAGCATCTGTGTTGACATAAAACAATATTTTTGGAGACTCGATAGATCAGTAAGAATGCTCTAAATAAGGGAGGCACTCAAGAGGTCTCTTTTCTGAAAATAGAAAATTGGAGTCGAGGGTTGTGGTCTGTGGGAGAGTTAAGTTTTCCCCACCAAACCCAGCTGTAGCCTTTAAAACATGGCTGAAGAACCTGCCTCCAAAGTTGCTGAAACTTTAGAAAGCACAAACCCCCACCCCCATCCCGGTTTGCTGGGTAAATAAATGAGACAGTGGTTTCCGGAATCGAAACAGACATCGTTCTTATGAATCGAGTACACTTCTTTAGACTTCCCGTGGAAGCTTTCTGAGGTCAAAATGAACCATATGCTCAAGATTCACCCTGCGCTCTCATTGATGCAAAATATGTGTCCCATGACTTCATCCGTCATATGTCTATGAATTGTAGAAATTACATTGTCTGTTCTTAAATCTAATAATAATCATAATAATTGCCATTGTGGATGAGTTAGGTCAGACAAAACATTTGCGTGGATTTTGAACTGACCTGCTCGTAGAAGGATGACCTGGTCGTCCAGTGGCAGCTCCGAAAAGTGGGGAATTCTCTTGGCCCACTCAACCAACGTAAAGAGCTGTTTGTCCGCAGCCTGACAGATATTTGTCACCGGGTCGTTTGGCTGCAAGGAAGGAAAGACAGAAATACTTAAAGTTGGGCATTTATGTACCAGATTCAATTCTCATTCAAAGTATTATTTTTGATTAAAGAGCATTTATTTATTCGCATTTCAAACATTACAGAAAAATAAACCCCCCCAAAAAAATGATATTGGGGATTACCTGTCAAATTTACGGGCAGCTGTGGCAATAGGCTTACATTGGGTGGTTGTCTAATATGTCTTAAGCACCATTTCTATATGAACAGTGCAGAAAAAAAGACTTTCACGAAGCAGGCTTCTTTTTTTTTTTTTTTTTGGTTCTTTAAGCAGACACAAAGCAGCTGTTTGGACCATTAATGGAGCTCAAGAGGCCCAAGCTGACATTTCGCAACAGGGCTACGGAGCTTTAATTTGACTTCTTCTGCAGATTGGTCATGGCTCCACTGTTTTTTAGACATCCTTTACATGTTGAAAATGCCACCATTTCCGTGGTAGAGAATCAGATATAGACCGAAAATAAAACCAGGCGGTTCTTGGAAGTGGGGCGGATAAAGGTCACGCTGCCTTTGTCCATTTCGCTGGCAAAATAGGAACATTGGCTAGTTTCTGTGCGAATTAAAAGGCCCGCATGAATCAAGCAGGAAAAAGTCATCTTATTGATTTCATTTCATTAGAGCCACTCAAGTTATGAGAGCGGATGAGCATAAAAGCTTGCAGAAAGGATCACGCAAATGAACACCGCAATTATTTTTCAAGTACTTTACGTAAGACACTGAAAAAAGGCTTTTATCAAGCCTTTCTTCACTTTGGGAAAACATGGAGAATGATCTGCTGTTAGTTTCATCAAATTTAAAGATGCATTCGCGTACATTAATCTTCCTCTCATGAATCTGTGGGGAACACAAAGATATGTCGCATGTAAACAAACCTATGCAAGGGGAGTCTCTTTTATACTTTGTATAAAAGCCGTTTTTCTTCCCCCCCCCCATATCACCGTTTTGTATATATGGCGCATATAAAATTCAGATCTACCAGATTCAAGCGATAATGAGTCTGTGTGTGAGCTTTTATTTAAAGAGAAGACGTGCTGAATAAGGAACACGATTTGAGGTGAGCATGGTGGTGTGGCCCTCAAAAAGTGTTTCAACAAATGGGGAAATTTATTGGCCACCCCTTCTCTTTTGGAACAAACCTTTTGGGACATGGAGTCATGAAAAGCGGAGAAAAAAAATATTAGAAATGAAAGTTGGGTCCGGAACTTACTGGATAATGTGTTTTACAATTAATTAGGTCATTGAATGTACTCCTTCCCTTTACATAATACTTTGGATACGGTGAAATAATTGTCCAAACACTTGTTAAGAACCTCTGGAAACAAAGACGGAGCACACCCTTGTGTATTTTAAATGAGGTAAGTCTACTTAAGTTCCAAGTATCCCCGTGTGAACTCGCACACGAACATAATCGGCAGAACCTCCCGAGTTTCTTTCTCCAAAGCCTGTTGATCGATTCTAAAAGCTTGGAGGATCCAAACTATCAACTGCACCTCTCAAGAGGAGATTAGTTCAGGATGAAGGAGAAAGCGTCCCTCCACTCACGTCCTCCTTTTGTAACACACAGACCAGAGACATCGCTGTCTGTCCTCCGTATTCCCTCCCTTCGGTGTGAAACTCACACTGACTGCTCAATATCACAGAGTGGAAACCAGGAATAAAAAAAAAAAAAAAAAGTTAGAGCAGACACAAAGACGACACTCTTGGAAAATGAAAGTGGTGTCGTATTCTTCAGTGGGAGAGTGAATACGGGCAACTCATGAATATTGCAGCATCTGATCTCCTTGGGAGATGCGGTCGCTGTAGTTGGGCATGACGGATATCGTGAGACGCTCTTGCTCTCAAAAGCACGTAAACAAATCGGCTAATTCGTCGCAAAAAAAAAAAAAAAAAAGGGCAGACCCGGTCGAAACAAAAAGGCGACCACAATGTGTCTCAACAGTGCAAAGCAGTTGAAATTCTCCTCTTACACAAGTCCCGGAGTTGTCGTTAAAGACGGCGAGCCTCATGAATGCTGCATGACTATCTGAGCGGTGTTTACACTGACCCGGTTTCTTTGCCTCTGTTTGTGAAGATGACAGGGGAGTTTTCCTGCAGCAATCCTCGGGCATCGAATTGCTGTAGTCACTGTTCAAGTCTCAAAGTAGCATTTAGGATGTGATTTGGTCACAATGGAGGGGCCCATTGTGAGCTATGGGGGATGGGGTGGGGGCTCCAAGAAGTATCAATTTCACTACCGTTTAGCAAGTCCTTCCATTTCGAGTGACAAACAATACGTAATGGTAATGAAAAAAAAAACGTTTTATGCAAGCTCGGGGGGAAAAAAATGCCGGGCATGCACATTCTCCTCTAAAAATTCCATCGCTTGAGGAGAAAGATTTTGATTTCAATTTTTCATTATTCTCCTTGAACCAGCCTATAAGAGCGTGATAACAAGGAGAAAATTGGATGCTCAACACATCAGCATGGAAACGAATTACTCATGTGTCCTACTTTTTTTTTTTTTTGAAACTCATACGTCAGGAGTGGGGATGAATCATCATTTAATTATCATTTAAATAACACAACACTTCTTGCTGATATTTCTATGAGGAACTGCAGCTTTACAGAAATATGAGCATAGACATTTGAGAACATCTATCCAGAAAAAAACAAAACAAAAACAATAATAAAACACCTGCAGCATTCGGTAAATAACGCCTCTCCCCCATCTTAAGTAGAGCCCCCTCCTTATCAGACTCAACACACATTACTAACACGTGTTTAATTTCTGTTCTAGGTCACCATGAGATAAACACACTTGATTCAGCTTGGCCAGACCCCAGCCATTAGACGGCGGTGGTGGCCCATTCATGCTTGTGCACTCATGGTCCGGGCCTTGTGATTAATTACAGCACGGGGCACTGCTTCTCAATGGAGATCTTGCAGGAGAGAATGGGGGAGG